ATTTTAGGTTTATAATGTCAGTAATCAGTTCAAAATATTAACAGCAACAGCGTCAACAAGAAAGAAACCTAACAGTGCCATTTCAAACCATCTATCAAACAAAGCCCACAAAATAAAAGCAGAAAAATATAATTTTCTACAATGACTTCCACCAACACCTTTTACAGCGTGTAATAACCAGAAAATAACTTCAGAGCGATTCCTCACAAAACGCTCCACTTCACTAAAAGCAAAAAAATTGAGAGATGCCTCGGCTGCAGACTGGATGGTCCTCCTCTAGCAACAAGAGCAATAAATGATTAGGAAAGCTCGGTATGCGTCCACTTCTCTGGTTTTCCAGTGTCATTCCCAGTAGTTCCGGTATTATATCGATCAGAATAACAGTTTTTTCATGATGCTGCGAAGATAAAAAGCCAGTGTGTTGTCCAAAGCTGCTCCTTCAGTACATTACAGCAGTCACAGGTCCGAGCTCCAAGGTGAACCTGTGAAAAAGAAGGAAATGTGTCCATTCAGCCTTCAAAATAATGTGTGTGTCACATTAAGCATTTTTTTGTGCACTTACTAAATTCTGGACAGATTTTTTGTGTGCTGAAGGTGAGAACAATGTCTCTTGTGGCACCAAGTAAGTCCACTGAGATGTCTGAGAACGCAGGTTTGTGTCCTTTTCCAATCTCCACTACATGGACAAAATAATGTGGACACCTTACTGTTACACCAATATGAGACTGTCAAACATCTCATTACAGATGGGCATTACTATGCTGCTTCAAGTCTTCTGGGAAACCTTCTACCAAATATTGGAATCCTGACTGTAGGGATTTGTTCCAATTTAGTAACAGGAAGCTTAGTGATGAGGAACATGATTTTGGATTGGCTCAAGGTGAGCGGTCCAGTTCATCCCAAACGTGTTGGATGGGGTTGAGGTCAGGGTCAACCCAGTCAGGTTTTTTCACACCAGACTCGGAAAACCATTTCTTTATGGACCTGGCTTTGCTTGCATGCTTTTTTTACTCCAATATCTAACCATTAAATATAAGGCGAGTAGCTGTAGCTTAGCTTATTAGCACAAAGACAGCTTGCTTGGCTTTGTCTGAGGATAACAAAATCCAAGCTCACTCAATAAACACGTATTATATCTAGTAACTTGTTTTCTTTGGTGGTTGCCGGGCAACTGCTCCCAGCCAAGAAATACACCGGCACTCACCAGAAAAGAGGTGTTGGTGGGTGGATTTTGTCATACAGAGCCTGGTTAGCTGTTTCCTCCGGGTTTCTGTCTTTGTGCTAAGCTAAGCTAAGCTAAGCTAAGCGGTTACTGACTGTAACCTTACATACATCAATCTCCACCAGACAGCTTCCAGATTTCCCAAAATGTCAAACTTCTCCTTTAATTGGAACTAAGGGGCCTTGTCCAAACCAGGAAAAACAGCCCCAGAACAGAAGAATGTGGTCAAGGTTGTCCACATACACACACCAAACACAAGATGACAAACTCATATGAGAAAAAGTTTCAAACAGAAAACAACCTGACCTGAACCCCAACCATTTGACTCTTGCTACCTCCAGTGTTGCAGAAATCCCCTCATCTCTGAACACACTCATTGCCTCTAGGCAATTTGTGGGCATCCAACTTCCAGCAGCTAAAAGTAAAGGCAAGTTTATCCTGTTTAGCTGAAGCTGCAAGGACAAGCTGATTCGATTTGACCTGCTGCCAAAATCTCTAACCTTGCAGGAGGACACATTGCCAAAAATCAGCCTCTTGACTTGTTAACAAGCAACTAGATTAGCTCTAACTGGGCAGCAAGAACCTAAATGAACCAAAAACAAGAGCAACAAAGTGAGGTTTCTTTCTTTTCTCAGGTTTGGACTGAAGAAAACTAACTGTACAGCAGAGACGTGATGGGATCCTCAGTCTACGTCAGTATCTGCAGCGGCAGGAAGAAGGTCAGGAAGAGGAGAAAAGGCCGGTTCGTTTGAGGGATGGACATCGCCGCTGAAGGGACGGGACGCTTCCTCCTGGGCCCGTTGCAGAGCGGGGTGTTGCAGCAGGAGATGCAGACTGAGTTCAGCCTGCCGGTGCAGAACTGCTGGTAGCCAGAGGAGGCGATGAGGCACGCCCCGGAGGAGGCACAGGATTTCCGATAATGTATTCCTGCAAAAGAAAACAACAACCCCAAAACAAACAAAGCGTATTTTATGAATTGTATGTGTCTAGATGAAGAACGTACAGTTATTGGCCATTCCTTCCGACATTAAGATGCTGGGCATGTTGCAAAATACACCAGATTTTTCCCTGCTGTAATTAGATTGCATAGACTGAAGATGTAAGAGCCTTGTGTTTTGCAATGCTGCAGCATTTTATTGCACTATAGGGCTATGGAGCTATTGACTTCCTGTCTGCTCTTATTAACTGATGTTTGTCAGTGTGGTATATGTTCTACTTGTATTTGTATGCTTGTATGAAGAAGAAAAACTCATATTCTGTAGTGCTGCAACTTTTTATTGCACTCCAGAGCCACTGACTCCCTTATCAACCGATGTTTCTCTCTCTGGTGTTATTTGTATGTGTTTCTATTGTATGTTACAGCCAGTGTTGTATCATGTATGTGGCATTCTTATTGTATTGTGTTATTGTGTTATTAATCTTGTGTTTTCTGTTGTCTGCAAATGCAATTTACCCTGACTGGACAAGAAAAAGTTTTGATTAAATAAAATTCAGATCAATTCAATCACTGTAGGCAGAAAGTTCCATTATCTGGGAATGGTTTTTATTGAAGAAGGAGGAGAAATATGCACAACTGAGCATTTTTCCTCCATGATAGTCTTTGTTTTTGTTCAAAAATATACATATTTCTACAGACGGAATCAGCACTCAGCTACCAGCCTGGTGTCTTACTAGGCAAAGCATAAAAATTAACATCTGTATTGCAGGTTCAGTGTCTTTCTCAAGGACAGCCCTAAAAGCTACGGTTGCAGGCGTTAAACCTGTAAACCTCTAATTACAAGATAGTGAGTAACCATCAAGTAGTAGTCACCTTGCCAAACAGAGAACTGTTTTTTCCCTTCTTCAGAATTTGTGATAAATGCTTAAACCGCCTGAATGTCATTTTACCTAAAGATTTGGATGCTTTAAAAACATCTTATTCATTAATAAGTTGCATGACTTAGTTACAAATGCTGTGTCTGAGCAAGGCTTTTTAATGTTTACAGCTGATGTAAGCTGAATGAAACAAGACTCTTGAAAGACTCTGCACCTGACGACTACATGATATCACGCTAAAAGAAAGCAATATATCTCAGGCAAAAGCATCACCCATTGCTGTAAAAGAAAGGGAACAAGGCTAAAGAAGCAGCATATGTTCTTCTATCTCAATGTAGAACTGAAGTGTATTGTTATTATGTGAGCAGTTAGTGTTTATGCTAACATAATATACCTTTTTTATAGCAGCCATTATGATATGAAATAATAGGGTAATCACAGTGCTGCCAATAGGTTCTGTACCATTCAAATCAGAACAGAGTCAGGGTGCTGCTATTGTGCATGTTGGCCCACTGGAAAGGATCTGCTACACTAAATGGAACACTATTCCAACAATTATTACTGTTTCAGAGTCTGTAGAGTGGTATTGTATGAAACTAGAAGACCTAAGGCATTCATTGGTACCAGTTTGACGAGAATGGGGTTAAATAATGCTCCAAAGTTAGTATACATTGTGGCGATGGAATATGAATAAAAATGGGCTCTATGGATCCCCATGAGTCTTCCCTTTATAGACATGGCCACTTTATACAAATCCCATGCAGTTTTCTACAAGCAGTATAAATGCATTAGGATATTTCTGCATACTTTACTCCATAAACAGCATTGGAATTGCATACACTGGGTATGACTGGAAAGCTGAGGCGTTTCTGGAGTCAATGATCCCAACCTTATGTCCCCATAATAGCTATTTTTATTGTAGTGAGACCATTATTTGAAACTTGATCTCACTGTATATGACCTCTTGTGACCTCTAGGATGATCACAACCTCATGAAACTGTACAAGCACAAACTAGATACCGAGTGGAGATCCAGAGGATGGGTGGCTTTCCTAGCTGTATAAACACCACTTAATTTCTCACCATACTTTAGCTGTACAAAAACGGCACCCCTGGCTTATTTGGCTGAGGTTGCAGGATTGTACATTTCCTTGAATCAAAAAAAAAGCGGGACAGAGCTGCTAATGTTAGCCTAAAATGTGTCAGCATATCCACACAGAGGGTTATGCTATGCAACTACACCGATGTGAATGTTATTTAACCTGTAACCCCATACATTTAGTTAGTAAATGATGAGGCTTGCACTTTTAAGTAACACATACTAGTAAACTAGTTATTGTAGCTTACGTTACAGCAGATACTTTGGCTTTTGTGGTGGGGTTTCTTTGCAAAGGCTAGAAAAAGACACCGACCTCCAAACTCTTTAGCAACCTGTCTATTTGGCGGCCTTCAGGCTGAACCATTTTATTTTCTGTAACACAGTGCAAAACTAATCTAATGTTGTGTCAGAGGCAGCTGAGAGAAAGTCTCTCCTCTTTGACGAATGAGCTGAATAAAGTGGTCCAGTGAGATAGCGTGCGCTGTTTTTGTGTCGCTCACAACATATAAAGGTGCGTGTGAGCATAAAAACAATGGAGGGCCATACATTTGTTTGTGTAGGTTTATCACGCGTAGGTTTCACACCGAATGGAAAAACTGTTGCATTACTCAGTCTGATGCTCTGTCTGCAAGACTGTGCCGAGTTACTCCACACATCAATCAATGGCCCCTCTCTGTCTTTGAAGCTGAGCAAAGGAACAAAATAGCAGATAACAATGTCTATTACACTGAAAATCACAGGAGATTGTTTCGACCTGCTCAGCCTTTTCTGCTGGGTCAGAAAGTCACACATATGAGCATATAAAGGTGTTTGGAGTGAGTAAACAGAGTTATGTCTAATTTGTCATTTTAGTGTCAAGAGTGCAAAGGTGCAAACATCACAGCTGGTTTAATTTGTTGTTGCATGACTAGAAATAAATGTCACAATTTAACAAAAAACTGCTTTCTTTTAAAAGTGATGTTATTTTGACCTGTAGTTTCCAAGACAATCTTGTTTACCACAGCGTCTCAGCTCATTACAGTTGCAGGCCCTTAGTGACATAATAATGTCGCCTGCTCTCATCTGAACGGCAAATAAATAAAACTTAATGCTAAGAGGTCTCGTACCTTCTGAGCGCTGTGTTCAGCTCCGTCTACGCTTTCCAGACAGTCACCTTTCTTCCACAGATGAATAGGAACTCGAATACTTTTGGCTGACCCTGCCTGTGCATTTACACCCTCAGCTATCAATCTTCACTGACTGTGTCCTGGATCCCATCAAGGAATATGAAAACCTAGAGAGCCTATACCTCCACTAAAAGTACATGATAGAAAATATCTAAATCTAGACCCATCTCAACAGATTTGTAAATATATGAAAAGGTTAATACGCAATATTAAAGATATCTCATATCCTATTAAATCCATGACGTGCTTTCTTCTATCTTTCTTCTTGGTTTTGTTTAGTTATTCTCAGATGATACAAATCAAAAAGCAGGAAAGGTGATGCTTGGAATAGGCAGTGAGAGCTACCACGGCCATCCATACTGTAAACTGTCCCTTACCATCGGGTTTGACCAGCACCTCCTTCTGGCACATGTCCTGTACATTGACGGTGCAGTTGACGATGTACTCCGGCGTGGAGCAGTCATTGTGCTTCATCTCCTCACACTGGTAGCACTGGATCTGAAGGGCATCTCCTGCACCACACAGCAGGAAAAAGAGTGCACGTTTGCAGGCATTATTGAGAATAACAGAGAAATAATCAATGCTTCACAATATAATAAGAAAAGAATTACATCTACTGTTTTTGGAAAAATGGCCATACATTTGACGCACAAATATTTGTTTGTTAATGAAAAACCTACAGCTGATTGTTTATCTTACTAGTAAGTGACTTTAACATTTTGGTTAAAGGAATAGTTCGACATTTTGAGAATGCTTAGTATGCTTTCTTGTCGAGATTTAGATGAGAAAATTGACACCACTCATGTGTTGTCAAGTGGACAACCTGGGACATTTACTGTCACCCATTTCCTGTTTTTTCCATGTTGTCCTTTCTTGATGGGTTTATATATCCAATCTGTGAATTTCTTTTATCTTCTTTATGTTTATGTAGGCTTTTATATCTTATATCTTCTTTATATCTTCCTTTTTGTTAGTGCCGCAGCTCCAAACAAGACTAATGGCACTCCATGTGACATTAGACCCACTAGCAGAAGGGCAGTGCCGAGGTTTTGTGACTTCACATAGCACCTAAGCAAGCCCTTCGCCACGTCTAATCTTAGGTGTTTTTCAGCTGTTTTTATTGGCTGTCTAATGAGTGTCAACAGTGAGGTTATAGATTCACACATTGGGCAGATAATAAGCTGTAAAGAAAGAGAAAAAAAATCAGCAAAGCACGCAGTGGTCCCTTCCTTTCATCACATGGATTTTTTATAGGTGATAAAGCTCCATTTACAACACAAACAGGCAGTAAGTGGGACTTGATGCACTCTGTCGGTGCAGAGATTGCCCGTGTGAATTCTCATCCCCTGAGATAATGAAAATGTGAGTGTCGGACTGCAACCACATCTTCTTTTGAAGACAACGCTTCTCACTGCTTTTAATGCCTGGATGGTCCTTTCGTATTGCTTAAAACCTCCTCATTCATCTGAGAGTCTGTTTTACTGTACATTGGTCCTGCAGAAAGGGCAAAACAACTGCAGCATTCAAGCTATGAGACCTGATGACATCTTAGTGCTATTTAAAGCTTGACTGTACTGTACTGTAGAGTCTATTCTTTTCATTTAACCTCTAAATGTTTTTCACAGAGCGCTGAGGATGAACATTGCCAACGAGAAGTTCTTTATTGCTAGTCAGTTTTAATTTGCACACCAGGTTGTTATGTATATCATACCTGCCATGTTCAATTAGTTTAATCATCATCATGGCAGCAGCATAGGGAGGCATTCAATCAAAAACTTCCAACAAACAAACCTGCCCTTTCTTTCCTAAGAAAGGCTATCCCTCCCCTCTGACATATATTAGTGGTGTAATCATTGAAATGGCACCAAACATTCATCACAACTCAGACGGTGCCATTAAAACACATCTGATAAAAGGTCCATATACAACATCACAACAATCCCAGCCTAAATTACTTTAAGCCAAGCAAATGTCTGAGACCTCCATCCATCACCTGGAAGGACAATGTGATAACAAGGAACTTTCTTTCTTTTTATGGAATATATATCAGTCATGCTGAAGGGCAAAATCCAGCGTCTGAGCAGTTTATCAGTTTTGGAAAATTGCTCTTAATCTATTTGGGTTTTTCCACAACAAACAAACAGCCAATAATAAGAAACATAAACCATATCCTTCACAGCTTTAGGTGTAGGAACAATTGCAAAATCAATGTCTTCTAATCACAATCCCATGTACTATAATCACTGTAGGCACACCAGAGTGATATAATAAAACATCTGACAGATGTAGGAACAGCTCTGGAGACAGCACCCTATTTCCTCCTCACTAAAGAGCAAAATGGGAAGAAAAAGGGAGCATCTTCGCCTTCTTGGCCAGCTCTTGCAATGGCAAGAAGAAAATACATTCAAAGCAAACGCATCTACCAGAGAAATAGACAAAAAACAGTTCATGCGTAACAGACAATCACAGGTTTAAGGGTGTTATTGGCTTAAATCCGTGTCACTATCTTGTCCCGCCTGTGCCAAAACAACGCAGAGGATTCCAGCACGCCACTGCTCCCTCCACGCGCAAAAAATTAAATATTACAACATTTTGTTCATTACTGCCAATTATTTTTTCGTGTTTCTCAAGTTTTTCCAAAATGATATGAAGTCAGTCAGTAAATGTCTGCATGCTGTCAGATGCAGCATGATCTTAGGCACAGACTTCACATACGCAGAGATAATGAGTTACCAAATGGTAATAGTTCTGTTTTCTAAATGAAATGGCATGAACATAAAGTCAACATTTTAGAACAGTATCCTAAGATTAAATGATACAACATATCAGTACTATGGATGCAAAACTTGCACACAATCGAAATTTTTTTTGTAATATTGGCATCATTGCGCATGAATGTAGATAGAAAGGAAGTATATCTTCGCCAAACCACAATCTAAGCACTTGTTTTAAGATGAGGACATGAGCTCTGAACTGTTCCCTCTCACGGTGGCTGAAACGCGGCTGCAGTCTCCCCAACTTGCACCCACCTGCGTCGAGAAGGACTCCAAATAAAGTCGCAAAAACGAGAAGACGCATTCTCTCCCAAATGACGCTCGGAGGGGTAACATCCGACCAAAGGAACTTGTTCAGACGGAGGCATGGAGGACGAACCGCCGCGGAGGAAGCCGAGACACGGATCCGCTCATGCTCTCGGCTCGCTGAGGTGAGAGCAAAAGCTCCGCAAAGTGAGTCTCTTCTCACAGCGCAACTGGAGACAAACCCAGAGCGCAGAAATCATAACGCGCACCACGTGACGGCGGCTCACTGTTGGCATTTTCATAATCTCAGTTTGTCTTCATGCACTGATGACAGAGAAATGGCCATAATATATATTTAATGTACATATGTAGTCAGTTAACAGATATTGAGCATTTTCTAGCTTTATGATTGGCTACATTATAATCATTATCTGTAACGATCCTGTTGCAAGATGTAGGAAAAGTTCAGTGAATTAATTTTAATACGAGACCACATCTATCCCTTTCAATATGCCACTGTAATAACTGTTTCTTATAAAATTCTTATAAAAATAGTAGGACTTCAGTGCGTCTGCGCGTAATAGATGGACCTTTGGCTTTATGCCTACGTTTTTCACTTAGACAAAGATTTACTTTTAATGGTACTTTAATATGGTGACAGTTTCTTAAATTTAATTAAAATATTTGATCAATTGTTTTCAGAATATTTATTTTGGGACTTACAGCCTATAATAAATAGTTTTCAACGATTTTCTTACAATTCTGTTGCTGTGATGAATGTGTTTTATGTGGTTTTACATTTCACTAATGCCATAATTTTTCTTTAACAATGCAATGGTGAATCTCGTTTTGACCTCTTTATGCACATTTTATGAACCACTCCCCCTGTTTTCACAGTAGATCCAGTGCCCACTGTAAACTGTATTATCAGCCTTTATTATCTGTTGCTAAAATTCTACCTGTATTTCATTTTTTCCACCTTATTTTCATCTCCACACATCAAAAACACGACACTATAAGCCTCGATCTGATTCTGTTGCTGTTTTTGCATCTGATCAATAAAATATATTGAGCTCGTGACTGTATGTAGAGGCAAATCATCCTAGCGTACATAAACTAATTGCTTTTATTTATACGCACATAATTACCCATCAAGGGTCTAATGGTTATAAATCCCTCAGCACCGGGCGGAGCGCACGAACTGTCGTCGGCTCTGAGCTTCAACTCCGGCTGACAGATTGTGAGTGGGAAGCGGTGATTACACGCGCTGCCCTTGGGGGGCGATTTCAGGGGTTTTCTTCAAACCTTTATTTCCACACTGAAAGAAAGAATGAATGAATCACCTGGTGACGCATGCGCTGCCTGCGCTGCCTGCGCACGTTTATGTATGCATGAGGATGTTGTGCGCACAAAACAATACACACACAAACAGACAAACACACACACACACCTTGCAGCTGAGTTTGAAATAGGAAATAATTTCTCATTTTTATTTAGGAAATAGTTACATAAAATATAGCATTAAAGTCTGGTGTAACAGACAAAATTGCACACAGCAATAATAATAATAATAATAATAATATTAACAATAACATTAATAATAATTACCAAAGTAACACTGCTGGTAACCATTTCTCTTTACAAAGGAACCAGGAACATTTAAGGAGAGAGGTGAAGCATGACAATCACACTACAGTCTGACAGTACAAAATGTGGGTATAAATACTGGACATCTAGAAAAATACACAAGTCCTCTTCAGACTCTCTTCGTACAATATTAACAGTTTCATAGAAAAATTGAAACACACAGGCGGCTCTGTTGATTAGCACCAGCTGGTCAAATTCCAGATAGAGATTTGGCATAACTTCACCTTAAGTTCAAATATGTCTTTAAAATAAAGTGATAAAATATTTTAGTATTAGCTCTTATTGATCAAAATAAAGTTTTTTTAAACAAGAACCCCTAAAGAATTCCATAAGAAAAGATACATGCCATTTCAAACAGTAGACTTAAAACCTTAGTTGAATGATTGGCAAACAATGTACATCGTTTTTTTGTTTTTTGTTTTCTCATTTGCATATATCAATCAGCAATGCCCATTCTGATATTAACTTATTTCTATATACAACATAATATACAACTATGAAAGGAAAACTGAGGTTTGGAGAGTTCAGGTATGCTATGCTACATGAAACTATAAACTAGGCTGTTTGGATTCAGGAGTTTTGCATCAGGAACTCAAAAAAGCAAAATATTACTGAGTGTTATTTGTATTTGTCAACAATTTCCTGATGGCTGCGTTTTGATTCTTACAATCTACATTAGTCCAGTATGTTCCCTGAGCTACCAACAATGACAATGGGTGCGTTGGTCATTTGCTGTACCTGTGTACCAGGCAGACACTGAAAAATCACCATTATTAGTTAATGTACCATGTGGAGACATAAGTTTTGCTTCAGTTAAAGATTAGATAGTCTTCTGTTGAAAATGAGTTATGTTAGCTAAATAGTCATCATTTTAATTTCCTTTGAGGAACATTTTTTACAATTGTCTGTTTTGTTTGCCGTTAGCGGCTGCATAACTGCTCAAAATCCCACACAAAGACAAGATTAGCAACAGGTTTAACCCTTCAAATTATTTAAAATGGACACAAATTAAAGTAATTGTAAATCCTGTTATTATTTGCTATGTGGTTTTTGCTTCAAAAAAGTAGACGAAGATGTAACAGGTGTATTATTATGGGTTGTGATTCCACATGGGCAGTTTTTGGGCAACTTAAATGGGCAACAAACTTAGCAGCAAACATAAAATGACACCTTAGGTTTAAATCTAGTTTCCTAGCAAACAGGAATGCAATCAAAGCAACAGTTTTGTTGCAACTACACGCCAATGTCGCCCATCAGTGTTGCTCCCAGAAGACGCCCTCCTTATCACTGCTTGAATAATCATTCACTTTACACTCCTTACACACTTTGTACAGTATTTGTTACAGTGCAATGATAAGACGTTTCCCAGCGTGGGGAAAAAGATAACTAAGAATTGCAATGAGACAACGTTGTGTATTGCTGTCCAGTCCACCACACCCAGAGTCAAACTATTCCAAGTCCTGGTTTGGTGTTCGGGATGGGGTTTCATCCTTTTGTCTCCAGCTCCACTAAGTGCTTTGAGTTGTACGTAGCAAGGACAGGGCTCCACGTGTTGTGGCAGGGCTGTAGTCAAGACCGCGTTAGTCCAGTCTGAGTCATTTCCAAGATTAGGTGAAAGTCGAACTTGAATCAAGACCAGATCCAAAGGGGAGTGAAGCCAAAGTCCTATTAAGTATTATTTACTTGCAAATGCAAAAACAAATTTTTAGGGGGCTCTTACAGTTCAACAGAGATGAAAATCTACCTAAAAGTACACTCCATGGGCTTATTGTACCCTTCAACGTCCAAACAAAAGAAGAATATGAAAAGGGAAGACAAACTTGATAAAGGCCAAGAACTTGACATGTCCAAGATGTCAGAGAAGTGGACATAGACTGGACTACAGCCCTGCCATCTTACGCTTAGCCCCTACACGTCATTAGAGCCCTGACTGGTGCAGGACGAGAAGCTGTCGTACAGCGAGTCGCTGAGGGAGCCCACAGGATCCACCCCGGGCTTGCTTGAGAAGCTGGATGAGGAGGGCTCGTCCATCTTGCAGCAGTCCTCCCCACTCTTCCCCGCATCGGCGTGGCAGTCACCTCTGTGGCCGCCTAAGCCCGTGTCCGGATACAGGCTGCCGCTGCTGGAGCTGCTGTGATTCAGCTTGTTCAGGGACTCCAGAGAGAAGTCGAGAGAGCCCGGCTGGTTTGCACTGATGGGAGTCTTCTCAATGGGAATCTCCTTCTGCAAAGAAAAAAAAGGGAACGTATATTAATAGAGAGCAGAAAATATGTTTATGGGAAAGAAGTATGATTTGCTGCATCTTGACTCCGTAAATGTATGCTACACTGTAAACAGTAACCTTGTCCAGTCTCAAATTCATGACTATGTAACTCCACACTCACTTCTGTTGTTCTGAAAGATACATGAGCACAGAAGTCGAACATTGCACCATGCATCTCATCTCGTTTGAAGTGTTGTGCTGCAGAGCAATAAGACTCACGCCACTTGAGAGCATGACAGTGATCTATATTGAGATTTTTATCACGCTCAAGGACCAAATGTATGTCTTGGGGGTTGGCAGGCATTCATCTCTGGGCATCTGGGCTCACCCACTCTCCCTGTTATATTAACTGTGTTGTATGATGATGTATTATTTTTTGTACAGCCAGTGGCCGTCTGCTTTACAAATTAGCATAGTTGGAAATATGTTACTCAGGGGAAATACTACGTCTAAAGCTGCTATCTGTTAACACTGCTTCAATTAGCAGTAGTTTCATCCTGAATACTTAGGGTGACAGCTGAGAAGATATTAGAATTGAATAATGCTATTACTGTAGGTCTTATCCCTGGATTGGATCGTGTCTTCACATCTGAGCCCATTGGCCTTTCAAGGGTACACGCCTTTAGGAAACTCAGCAGCAATTACACTCAACAGCAAAAGTAAAAAAATAAAAATAAAAAAATAAAAAAAGCCTGCATTAACCAGCTGCTTCTTCAGTACTTTATGCTTTAATTCATTGTCACATGACTCTAAGCAACATCACTGCTAATGACCTACAAGTCAAACCCTCTCTACTGAGGAAAACAAAACAACACATACAGCTAAAAATAGTCAGTTGTTTATGATGTGCCAATTATTTGAGTATTCTTCATGATCTCTACTTTATGTCTCAAAAGGCACTTTAGGGAGATAGTTACTGTCCCAATCAGCATGAAAAGCCCTCTTCAGAGGCTGTAAACAAAATTCTCAGGGTAGCTTTATTTTCCTTCAGCAATTCCAGCCTGCGAGAGCAGTTATCTACATAGGTATTTTTGCATGGGTAAGTACACAGAGCTGGAGGGTCCAGGCAACCTCTAGGGATGCTCCAAACCTGGACCATTTAATATTTTGCTGCAAGGTGTATCTACCCTCGGACGTAAACCCAGAACTACTCCACACATGAAGTGTGGACGCATCAGGAATATAATCTAGAGTGCTGTTAAAGTGGTAAAAACATGCCACAGGCGTTTTTAACGTGTCCAAATGCAATATTTAGAGGAAGGCTCTTCACATTTGGGTTCAT